GGTCTTTTTACTTTCTTCATCACCCGCATTAGTTTCACCTGCTCATTATAGTTTGCACCGCATCATAAGCAGCCTTCACCCACCAATCCCAGCCAGATTGTTCTAGACGCCACCTCTCACTCTCCAGCATTTTTCGGTTTTGGTACTTTGTGTTTTTGACCCGGCTTGTTCCTCTGACTATTCTGTTCTGCCTTGCCCTCTTGCTTCAGACTGTCACTGTGTATAATTATCGGACTTCCCTTTGGACTACGTATTTGGATTCCTCTGCTGTATGTGTTTGCTGGCTCTGATCTCGGACTGTTTATACCGACCTGTGATTTTTGTGTTTCACCGTGTCTTGTATGGTTTTGTTTAGCGTTAGTTCTCTTATTAAAGAGACGGTTTTGTTTTACATTTCCTTGTCTGGCCTTTTAATTGAGTTCACCCTCAACATTTTTGGCAGCATAACGCGCCGATTCCTGACATGTGGTGTGTGCGTGTGTGTTTGTCTTTATATACTTGTGCGAACCAACCCCTGATGGAACACCTTTCTTGTGTGGACATTTCATTGGTGACTTTCACCAATGCGGTTTTTGTACTATGATGGACTCTAAATCCTGACTGAAAATCCTCAAACAAATCATTCTTGTGCAAGTGGTCACATAACTGCTTTGCAACAGCTTTTTCAAGGATTTTGGAAATAAATGGGCGATTGGATATTGGTCTATAATTAGCTAGGACACCTGGGTCAAGAGTAGGCTTTTTGAGTCGAGGTTTAATTACTGCAAGTTTAAAAGCCTGTGGAACATAACCTGTTAATAGAGAGAGGTTAATCAGATCTAGTATGGATGTGTTGATTAGGGGAAAGACGTCTTTGAGCAGCCTGGTCGGGATGGGGTCCAGGAGACATGTTGATGATTTAGATGAAGCAATTGTTGAGGTCAACTCAGAGATATCTATGGGAGAGAAGTAGTCCAAGTATAAATGAGGTCTTACATTTGTTTCTAAAGCCATTGTAGTAGATGGCACATCTGTGAGAGCTGTGGGAGTGGTCTGACCAATTTTTTCTCTAATAGTTGTGATTTTATTTGTAAAGAAGCTCATGAAGTCATTGCTGCTGAGATCTAAGGGAATGTTAAGCTCAACAGCACTGTGGCCCTTTGTCAGCCTGGCTACAGTGCTGAAAAGAATCCTGGGGTTCTTATTTTCCTCAATCAGTGATGAATAAAATGCGGTTCTGGCACTATGAAGGGCTTTCTTATATGTTATTAAAGTATCTTTTCAGGCTTTGAAAATCTCTTCTGACTTAGTGGAGCGCCACCTCCTTTCCATTTTTCATGATGCCTGCTTTAGGGAGCGGAGCTGAGAGCTGTACCATGGGGCCTCCTCTGTTTCACTACCTTCCTTTTCAGAGGGGCAATGGTATCAAGTGTATTACACAGGAAGGCTGCAGTACTATCAACAAGATTATCGACTTGTGTGGGAGTAAAGTTAAGGTGGCCTCCTTCCACTGTGT